TGAGGTAACCGGTAACCCGGCTGGATCTTCCCTCTCTCGCCTCTCACCTTCGCTTCGTTTAATGTTGCAAACCGATGCTCGCTTATCTTCGCTAATACTCCGCGTTGCATTGCGCCGAGATAATCATGGGGTGTACAGAACTTCGTGTAAAAGTCTTTTGAGATAATACGATGATTAAATCGACCGTGAAACAGAAGAATGCTTTCGCTACCGCGTTCCAATTTGTTCGAAAAAAAAATGAATTTATTTTAATTTTATGATCGTTTTTAATACAATTAGTATATATTTTTAATTATTTCGCGTTCTAATTTTGATATACTAAGTTTTGAGTCTTTCATTTATCCTCTTGTTAACTTTATAATTTTTGATAATTTTTTAATCTTCACAATGTTAATACTTTTAAAAACAAACTCTAATTGAGACGCGCAAGTCATTAGAGTAGGGTGGTTTTCATGCTGCGGTATTACCGATGATGGACGATCAAACGGACGTAAGGAGAGCCATTCGCTAATGTCTGTATTTGCAACAACTCATCGGGAAGACTCTGAAACAGTGTTCTTTCGCTGCTTGATAGTTGCTTCGATTATATCGCCGTAGGGCAAATAAATTACATTCTCGTAAATCACTGCGATTGCAATTTCATTCCCCATCGAAAGAATTCAGTATAAAAGCTGCATGTTACGTTAATTCCATATACGTCTTTTACGAAATATCAAAGTAATTACATTCTTATGTACGACTTTCTATATATATATAATTCTATATATATAATATATATATATATATTCTATATATATATTTTCTCTGTAGTGTATACGCGTGTGGTCTTCTTTAATTCACAAAAAGTCTAAGATTCTTGTTTTTCAAAAAAAATTAATTTTAATATACAAATTTAATTTATCTTTTGACTTTGTGGAACGCAATTCTTCAGATCTAGCTCTAGTCTGAAAAAAAAAGCATTATGCTCACATTAAATTATATTAATTACATCTTCATTCATTTTCATTCATTTAATTATACTTACTTTAACGAGATATGAAAAGTTTCTTCTTTTAAACTTTATTTTTCATGAATGATCTTAGAATACTCGGACTATATTAATGGTATCATGATCCACGTTATTAAGGGGCATCTGTTCCTTCGATTACTGCACCGAATGGAGACTGCAACTCAATCAGCCGACGAGACTCAGCCAAGACAAATTCCCCGGGCCCCGTAAGTGAGGTCTCGTCGAAAGGTTAACGAAGACCGATAGAGGCGCGAAATGTTCGACAATCCGCGAGGCGCAAACGAGGCATCCTCCGTGAGCAATGTCCCGAAGCGCGAGGCGCTGTTCGCGCGAATGCTCTTTACTCGTCCTCTCCTCCGTCGCTCGCCGCGCCGCGCCGCAACGCCTCGGGATCGGCGAAAAAGAATATCGGCCGGCGGTGCGATATCGCGATGCAATCATCTCGCCGGATGAATCTGCATTATTCAGCGAACGGCGTTGAGGAGACGCGCACGCGAGCCGGCCTCGTGAAAACAGGTACAACGAACGAGGGTCCGGGGTCGGGCCCCGTCATCGCGCCGGGCCTTGCGCCTTGTGTCCGGGGCCACATCCCGGGGCGCCGCGCGCGCCTTGCAACCCCCCGCTGGTCTCCGGAGAACAGCCTTTTTCGATACCGATTATTGCGCCAATCGCGCGTTCTCGATGCGGAACGGCGCGTCTAGGATAGGTACGTACGTACGAACGCGCGCGCGTGGGAACACGCCTTCTTTCTCCGCATGTTCGACAGGTTGGACGCTTTTCTGCGAGCATTCCCACACGTCGGTATTATCACGCGAAAATTAGCCTAGACGCTTCGACCGGGGTACGTTCGCTTCGATCGCGTTCTAACGACTTCCTGGATGTGCTTACCGCCGAGCAGTGGAGCAAGAGGCTTAAGAGATCTTATCCGCAATATCGGGCAAGTTACTTGATTGAAATTTAATTCTACTAGTAAAGTGCATGAGCATCGTCCGCATCAAAAAAAGAAAATAAAAGATTTTTACATCAAACGTAATAATTAAGTTTCATATTATTATAATTATTATTTTTACTTATGCTTATGCATGTCAGGTATTAACAATAAAATAATTGTTTCGTATTAAATTTTATATACGTGCGTATAAAATATTCTCATGTTTAATACTGTTAGGAAAGTCTGATCCGCAAAATCATATATTATAGCATAAAGTGTTTTTTTTACTTAATATATTCTTTAAACAAAAACGTTCTTTTGCTCGCCATCTCCGAGGTGTTTGATAAAAAAAGGTATTCTCAATAAAAGCACATATCTCGATCTATTCTACGAAAAAAGGCGGCACTACAAAAGCTTTCACCTTCGTGACTCCGGAGGGTATACGGCATGATATGCATTCTATTTCGCATAATAGAAACGGATCCAATGAGCGCCGACGAGAACATTCCAACTTCTCTCTCGTTAGCATGTATAGTCCCCGCGAAATATTCGCGATCCCCGCGCGGTCGAATCGGATGGTGCACTGCGCCGCGATCAGCGCAGATCGAAACAATCGTTCACGAGTAGAAATGAACACGGCAGATCTCCGTGGCGATTCTCACGTTTCTTCGCGAATCTCCGCGAAGCCAGGACCATAAGTGTGAGAATCTGGCAGACTATATAAAAATTGTTAAAAAACTACGTGTACCAAGTTTTGTAACGGTTGCCATTTTTTTAATATTGAACATTTCTATTTGGAGATCACCTCAAAAATATGCTTGATTAAAATTAATTGAAATTAAGGAGAAGATAAATATTTATTGTCTAGATTTATGAAGCAAAATGCAAATTGCATAAAAAATCTTTTCTAGATGCATATCTCTAGATATCTTCATTTTTTAATCCCTGATCCCACGATCTCGAAGATCTTCAGTTAATGGATCCAATTGATTAACGTATTAATTTATTCCTTTTCAACAAGGATGCAAAAGTTGCTTGAGATCGGCCATAAATTCAAAATTTTTGCTATAAATGATCCTCAAGGACAAGAATTTAAATAATAAAGTATTAAATATACTAATATTAATGTATTCGTCCCGACAGAAATATTAACGTTAACTACTATTATTAGCTTCAATGTACAGCACGATTCTGAGTCCATTGGGAAACGCTCTCTGCAAGATGCTTCGAGATATTCCGACATCGACAAGATACATGCAGCTTTTTAACACTTTACAGAGAAACATAGTGCGCGGATTAGGGAACACGCGCGCGTGTAGGACTAGCGATACTGGTGCAACAACTTTCTAGAGTGTCGGCGGGGCCCGAAAAAAAAAAAAAAGAGCAAAAGTCTCGGAGTAGCGGTGCAGGCGAGAGACCGCGAGCTACCTGCCCGCCGCATACAGGTCTCCTCGCGAATACCCGCGAGATTGCATAACGCCCGCGCGCGATCAGCGGCACAACTCGTGCACAACAATGCCGGCGGCTCGGGGAATCGATTTCATAGAGAATCATTGTGTTCGGAATGTATCTACCTCGCCCGCGCGTATCACGCCGATTTTTCCGAGCGAAAATTCGATTTGCGTGACGCAACTCGCGAATCCTCGTGAACGCGATTTTTCAATCGATCGCTCGGCTTTCACGCGGAGACGCTCGGCGGCCGTAGCTCCGCGATCGCAGAATCAGAATGCAATCTGCGAAAATTGTACTGCGGTTTCCGAAATTACGTGCGAGGGCATCAAATGAGATTTAATAATTGATCGTTCCAATCTTGATCGTACAAATTCGATTTCGCCAGAATGTTAATTGATTTAACTATTAAAAACTAGGATCAAAGTTACTTCTATTAAACGCTTAATCTTCTTTTATAATTCTAAACAATGAATTAATTAAATTAATTGAAAATTATTTTGACAGATTTATGATTATGTCAGATATAATTTTTTATTATTATAATGGATATACGACACTGTTGATAGTCTCTGTTTTTAAATAACCATGATGAATAAACGAATGATAAATTTACTTTCTCGAGAATAATGTAGGAAAGTTTGTTGAGAATAACGGTCGATATATCCTAAAATGCATTTTCGGTATATAAACGACTCTCAGGAGTCGCGCGTGTAACGACGTCAGGGATGTTGCGTGAGGATAATGGTATAGTTGATAAACAGGGAAAAGAAACAAATGCAAACACTCACTTGCTGTTATAACACACTTTATCAAAATCCAGCAGAGCACGCCGCTTGAAACAGTTCCAATATTTTTTTTCTCTTCTCGTTCTTTTTTTTTTATATATTTTTATTTTTTTTATTCAACCGACTCGAAAATATCACGAAGAGTCCACGCGTGATATCGTTCACACGTCGCGCGAATGTCCGTGCCAGAGACAGGTACGTTATCGTCGCAAGGAACGTTAACGGCTACCTGCGCGATTCTTACTGCAGCGATCTGCTTTGATAATTACAACGATGCGAACAGTTGCGAACGGTGTGTATTTTCATGGGATCCAACATCGGATAGGAGAGGAGCAGCGAGGGACGGCGGAACGGAGAGGAGAGGAGAGGAGAGGAGAAGTGCTCCTGCTGGAGGATCCCTTTCCGCAAATGCCAGTCCGCTCTCTCGCACGCACAGCTGATTATCGATTAATATAGTTGTTGATTCCACGCTTGCAAGGAGCTTCATTGAATTATCCTTCCGATCGAACAGGCAAATCGCGTGGGTAGCTCTCTATCTCTATCACTTTCCCCCTTCTTTCTGTCTCTTCCCCCTCTTCTCTCTCTTTCTCTCTCTCTCTC